AGGTCAGAGGAGCTGCGGGGCTGGGACCCGGGAGGGAGGGAGGAGCGGGCTGTGCTCCCGAGCTGCTCACAAGGACCCCGTCAGCTCCCGCCGGCTGCCCGTGGGGTGGAGGAGGCGGCGGCTCAGCTCGTCCCCTGCGGCCAACTTATTTGGTGTCTTATATTGATTAATTCATAAGGATTGAAACAGTCATTCGTGGCATTAAATCAGCTTGCGTTCTGTTTTCATGTAATTTAGAGACAATCTTGTGTGTCTATGTCTATCCAGACAACTTGTCTGTGATTTTCCTTTACATATATTTGTTTGGGTCACCTGCTTCAGGTGTTGAGGGAAAGCTGGCTTTGTACGATGACTTTCTAGGATTCCTTTTCTGTGTATTCTATTCAGTACTATCCTAGTGGTGTTACTGTATGGTTGTTCTAAGGAAAAGCAGGATTGTGTGTTGAATCTGTCCCGTCCCAGACACTGTTAGAGAAACTCATCTGACTTTTGTCTCACCATTGCCTAATGCCTTTTCTAGAATTATAACTCAGAAGGTTGAATTGTTCATTTGTTTTTAGATGCTTGTCCTTTTCTTCTTCAATTCTATTTTCTTTGCATGTGACCATCCACAATATTCCATAAGGCAACTCTGCAGTATCCTCTTTCCAACTCCAGTTCTGTTACTTGGGGATTCATTCTTTTGGTGTAGATTAGGTGAAAAATGCTTCATCCATACTTTTGACAATTCCCAGAAACAGGTCCATTGCCTTGATTTGTTGTCTTGTCATCTTGTCACAATTCGACACAGCCATTCTTGTATCTTGTTATATACTAGTTCAGATTGACTGGTTTTTATACTTCCAAGCCCTCAGAAACATAATTGTGTGCAAATGCCTTTTACATCCAGAACCTCTTGCTGACAAAACTTCTCAGTGTATCTTTGTCTCCCCACTTGTGTGTCATGTTATTCATGCGCTGAGAATCACCTCACACATTGAGAGAGTATCCTCATTACTCCGTGAATTCTGTCTCACTGCTCATTGATTTAAGTCTCCACAATAGCTTAGCAGATACGAGCACTTGGTGCTCTTTCAATTTCCAGGTTCAGTTCCATGTACAGTCATGGTGACTTAACTCAGGTTCCAGTGGTTCTATTGCTTCCTTGTGGCCCCAGCAGGCATTTCATGCATAAGGTGCACAGACCTAGCTGAAGGGAAATACCCATACGAATGAAATTAAAAGGCATAAATCTTTGTTTTACTTTCTTTTTATTAATTCTACACATTCTACATCATTTATTTGATGCTACCCATTTATTCATCCATTCCCATCCACCATCCGCCCTCCTCCACCAAGGTCTCAGGCGTTGATGGGCGGGAGGTGTGGATGAGGGCATCCCTGCTACACATGCTACCACCATATGTCTCACTGATAATGGGGACAGTTGTCTTTTGCCTATAACATTGGTGCTGAGTCTCCATCACCACCAACCACCAGGCAGCTATACTGTGCTGCCTCCAGAAGAGACAAAGTCTGTTTTCTGTGTGCTGCAGCTGGTCAGTAGGGAAGGTCAGCTCTTGTCTGGTGGAGATTGTAAGGGAGGAGGACTAAGGGGGTCACCTCTTACCCGCCCGCACTGTCACTTGACAGATGAGTGTGGGAACAGTTCACTCACATTCCAACTACATGCCTGGCTCTCCCACATCTGAAATGACAGTGATAGCTCTGTTTCACTGCCCTGGAGCGGTACAGGGCCCTCAGTCCCAAGATTACAGCTGTTGGGGGGTCATGGGCAGATCTCCTGCTCTTAGAACACAGGACATCTTTCCCACTATACCTAATCTAGGAATAATAAACCAGTGCTGCAGAGGCAGCTCAGCAGTTTAGAGAACTTACCGATCTGGCAGTTTCCACTCAGTTCCATGTAGACGCATGGTGACTTAACTTAGGTTCCACCCATGTCTGTTGTCCTCTAATGGTGCTGCAGGCACTGCATGCACAAGGTGCACAGACTACCTATAGGCAAACATCCATGCACATGCAATGAATATACATGCATCTTTGGAGAAACAGGAAATGATGTAGAGGTCTTACATAAGGATTCAGGATGACAGCATCGGAAAGAACATGAAGGTGTCACTGCTACTGTGACAGTAAGTGTGGAGCCTGGATATGTGATTTGAAATGGCCAAACTGAAGAAATTAGTGTCAAGTCAGTGGTAGGTATTGGTTTTTTATGGTTTTGGGAATATCATTGATGTACATGCCTTGTGTTTGATCAATTTCACTTCCTATCCCCCAGTTCTAATCACTGTTGTAATGCTTTTTCCCATCTGCATACTCACATTTTTTTTTTTAAATGTCCTGAGTCTATGACAGCCTAGCTATATGTGCATAGGCTACATCTTTCAAGAATACTGACTCTACCTCTTCCAAGGCCAAGACTTGCCTGCAGTATGTCAGGTAGTGGTGTGATGATCCATTTTACCCCTCTGGGCATTAAGCTTGGTTAATCTTGTGCAGGATTTCTGCATGCAGGTACAGCTTCTGTGGAGACAGTCATGCAGTGATACTCAAGTGATAGATATGTAGACCCGCTCAGCTGTGCCTGTGCTGCAATTTCATCAGAACCCTGAATACCTTGCAACCATGAACACACAGTTCATATCACAGCAGCAGCAGTCCATGGGGCAGCCTTAGGAAGACACCATTCATCTCGGCAGTTGTAGCAGGCAAAGCAGACATTGCAGCAACCCTTGAGATTCCCAGGTCAGCGGAGCCATAGTGCTGGGAACAGTCAGGAACAGGACCAATGGTGTTATCCGTTCTCTACTGTAGCTCATCAGAGCATGAAGTCTGATATCTGATATGGATTTCTTAATTCTTTTGGAAAATCTTAGATCAGGTGAACTCACCCTGATATTTTCTTTTTAAATTTAATTTAGAAACAATCTTATTTTAAGTATCATCCCCGCTCCCTGTTTCTCCCATTCTCCCATGCCCAACACAGACAACATCATTCCACTCCCCCATCCACTCCCCATCATCCTGATTTTTTCCATTCATGTTATGATTGTCAGGACATTGACAGAAGCATGATCTGCTAGAGGATTTACATTACATGTCATTGTCTACAAGCATGGTCCTCTTTCTTTTGTGGAAATTCCACAGCTCCTGGAATTTAAATTTATCCATTTTTTCCAACTCTCCTGTTTTGCCATTGGCATAATAAAGAGTGGCTTTTCACAGTGACATCCAGGCATTGCCTGAGATATTTTTATATATTAGTCATATAAGGTACCACTGCACATTTTTACTGAATCAGGAAGTATGTTTTTGCAAGTTTAAAGGCTGTGATTCTAAACAATAACATTTAGTAAGAAAAAGTTTGTTTTCCATCTGAGAGTTATCATAAAATCTCTTGAAGTTTGTCTTAGGTCATCTCTTTCCACTGGTATTTTCATATCATGGGGCTTATTCATGATTGGTTTTCCAGTAGTTTTGTGGATAAGATTAGAGATAGTAATTTTATTGTTTCTAGTTAGAAATGGTAGTTTGCTGGTTTTGTGTGATGAAAATAATCCTGTTCTTCCAAGCTCTCCTACTCATCTATTCATTTTGTTAAATGCCTTATTTCCTGGGTTGCCATTGCAACCAATCTTTGTAAACTTTGCCTGTAATTATGATTTGCAGTGCAGCTTGAGTGGATGACTTCTGTCATTTTCTAGCCTTCTACATATGCCCTTCTCCATGAATTTTAAGAGCCCATGTTTCTGGGTACAATGATAAGGTTCATAGTCATTTTCTTTCACCACTCTAAATGTATCCTTCCATGTTCTCCTGTTGGTAGAAATGTTCACAAGATTTCAGGTACCATTTTGGCTTTGGCGGGTCTTTTTGTGTTAAGTGGCATTAACCATAACAGAGTTTTGTTACTTTCAGACAACTAGATGTAAAGTTTCAACAAGAATCCCAGTATTTTTTCTGAGAAACATCAGAGAAGAAAAATAAGAACAATGAATGCTTGTGCAGTAAATGCTTCCCAGGTCAGTGTCATGTCCACATTTCTCTAAAAATTGTTCTTATTTTTGAAACCATTTAAACTTTTAATTCTTTACCACTGTCAAAGTTATTGAAAGTGTTTACGTTTTTCTTATTTATCTGTTTTTTCTTTTCTTATATTCAAGATTATATCTTTAAATTTTTCAAGAAACTCTATAACAGAGACTTGACCCATTACATTTTCACTTGATATTATTCTATGAGGCTATGAATTTCCATGGACTTGCATCTTGAAGTCTAAATCATAAGCTATTGTAATGACATTCAAGTAGAATAATCTTTTTTTAATATTTTATTTTTATTTATTATGTATACAACATTCTGCTTCCATGTATATCTGCACACTAGAAGAGGGCACCAGATCTCATAACGGATGGCTGTGAGCCACCATGTGGTTGCTGGGAATTGAACTCAGGACCTCTGCAAGAACAGTGCTTTTAACCTCTGAGTCATCTCTCCAGCCCCCGTAAAATAATCTTTTATCTGCTACTTAGATCTTAGAAAATATCATAAAATTCATGGAGGAGAGAGGCCCAAGGATGTACACAATGTAGTTTATCTTCCTGTACATTGTCTTTGAAACAATAACAGTGCAGCATTTCTAGAAAACTCTTGTCCATTAAAACTTGCCATGCCTCATCTGTATCACAAACATCCCTGTAATTCATTAGGTCTGTTTTAGGCAACAAAACATTTTGTGAAGCAGTGCATGGTAATTGAGTAATTTTCCATTGCAGGGTCTGTTATCATTTAGGGATGTGTCTGTGGACCTCTCCCAGGAGGAATGGGAATGTCTAGACTGTGCTCAGAGGGCTTTGTACATGGATGTGATGTTAGAGAATTACAGCAATCTACTTTTTGTGGGTAAGAGTTCCCTTCTCATAAAATTCCTGATTCATTCTTTTTATTTCCCTACTTTGTGTATCTGTAAACTCTCTGAAACTAGAGTATCCCAGAAATGAGGGAAAGTTTGGTTACCAACAAAACTTTTTAATGGTGCTTCATTTATATTTTTTGTGTTCTATATAAGATAAATGAATGCTATATTCTCTCATCCCTTTAGCCCTCCTATCTAATATACAAAGAGCATATCAAAGTTCAAAGAATATTGAGTTGTCAAGGCATGGAAATATATTGTAGTACTTATGATTAGTATTTTGATTTTGCTACTGGATTTAACTCTTCACCTATTTCTGATTATAAACATTGCAAAGGGTTTTAGAGAAGGGACTGTTGGTTATGAGATTGTTTATTTATTTATTTATTTATTTATTTTTGAGATATAATTGCTGTGCTTACTACTGTCACAGCATGATTTTAATATTTTCACTTTGGATGCTGAAGTGAGGACATGGTGAGTTCCTTTCAAATCTAGGTTGTTAGTTCCATGTTATGTGAGTGTCTCAAAAACTTAAGAAATAGGGAAATATTCTTCATATCATCCTTCACAGAGCTTCTTTCTCAAGTTCTTTCCTTTCCAAATACCTTTATAACTGACCAACTGCAAAGGACAGTGTTTATTAAAAATGAGAAAGCTATACACAGCAATGCTCTAGGCCCTCTACATATGTATGATTGTTTTTTTTTTTTTTAACTTGGTCTATTTGAGGGACTCCTAGCAGTGGGATCAAGGCCTTTTCCTAATTTTTTGGCTTGCTATTGGGAAATTATTCCTCTGAGTTGGTTGCCTCACACAGTGTTAATACAAAGGCCGGAGGTTAGATATACCTCACCTTTATATGCCATGCTTTGTTGACACCCTTGTGAGACCTGTCTCTTTTATAAAACAAGCAGAGGAGTTGTTGGGGCATAATTCAGAGGCAGGGAGACAGAACAGGAAGAGAGTAAGGAAGGGAAACTGTAGAAAGATGTCAAATAAATGGGAAAAAAATGAGTAGGCTATTACTGGTTCCTGTGATTTGTTGTAGATCAGACTGGAGATTCTAATGAACATCCATTTAATGATCGTGAAACAAAAATGTACTCTGTTAAGGTTGCAGTCCCTGAAAGTTGCTAGTTAATATGTCATAGAAAATCTAAGAAAACATCAGGTATTGTATCTGTTACTCATGCATTAAGTGCTATGATTCACAATTGTACTAATTTTTCAGAGAACCATCGCATATGTGATAAATGTGAGAAGCTCTTGCATCCAGGAACAAAGCATTTTATCCATGACCATGAATATGTCCAAGAGAAGACTTGTAAATGTGATGAGCTTGGCAAAGTGATTCATAAATCCTGCCAATGTACACCTTATGACACAAATGATACTACAAAAAATGACAAGTACAGATTTGCTAACCACATAGATACCTCTGTTTCAACCTTAAATCTCAACAGCCACAAAAATAGGAATGCTGGAGAAGAACCATGCAAATATAAAGACTGTGCAATGTGTTTAAATTTGTGTTCCATCATTAGCCAAAATGAAAAACATCACAAAGTTATGGAAGAACACAAAACTACGGAGTATGATAAAATTATTGACTCTAAAACAGAAATCACATTGAAACAAATGGATCCTGGGGAGAAACCAGTCCAACGGAGGAAATGTGGGAAATGCCTCAAGACTCACTCAAGCTTCATTAGGCATCAGAGAACACATACTGTGGAGAAACTGTATAAATGTACAAAATGTAGTAAAGTATTTCTGCATTTTTTACAACTCAAAGTACATTATAAAATTCATGCTGGAGAAAAACTCTGCTTATGTACAGAATGTGGTAAGTGGTTTCATCATACATCAAACTTTGAAGGAAATTACAGAATCCACACTGGAGAGAAACCTTACAAATGTAGTGAATGTGACAAATCCTTTATTAGTGCCCCATCTCTGAGAATATATCATAGAATACATACAGGAGAGAAACCTCTTAAATGTAATGAATGTGACAAACCCTTTCCCACAAGTTCTGATTATAAAAATCATCAGCAAATACATACAGGAGACAAACCTTACAAATGCAGTGAATGTGACAAATATTTTACCACAAAAGGCAGTCTTAGAATTCATCAGCGAATCCATACTGGAGAGAAACCTTACAGATGTAGTGAATGTGACAAATCTTTTACCACAAAAGGCAGTCTTAGAAATCATCAGAGAATTCATACAGGAGAGAAACCTTACAAATGCAGTGAATGTGACAAATCTTTTACCATAAGAGGGAATCTTAGATTTCATCAGAGAATTCATACAGGAGAGAAACCTTACAAATGTAGTGAATGTGACAAGTCCTTTACCTTGAAAGGGAACCTCAAAATTCATCATAGAATCCACACAGGCGAGAAACCTTACAAATGTAGTGAATGTGACAAGACCTTTACCCAGAAAGGGCATCTTAGTAATCATCAGGTAATTCATTCAGGATGGAAGCCTTGCTAATACAGTGAACGTGACATCCTCTTTGCTTGGCTAACACCTTAGGAGACATCTGAAAACACATATCAATGAGAAACCTTACACACTATGGTGAGTGCTAGAAATCCTTTACATAAAAAGAAAAGCTTACAACTCAAAAGAGAATATATACATTTGAGAAACTTTAGAATGCAGCAAATGAGGAAAAAAAAACTTTCTCTCAGAATATGTTGCTGGATATTTGATGGCACTCTGACACCTGTGTTTAGTAATATCAAACTTGGATCATGGTTGGAGTCCAGAACTAGTTGACAGAAAATAGCCAGAGTACATGGAGTTCAATGGGAGATAGGGAGACACAGAGTAAAGAACAGGAAGTAACTTGGGAGTTTTTCAGTCTTTTTTAAGAGGGTTGGAGGGACACTCTCTTGCTGGGTCTCTGGTCAAAGAGAAAGGTGAGCTGGTTGCCTCTTGCCCTCTGAACTGGCAGATTTTTACCCCAGCATCTAACTTCTGAAATAAATAAAACAATACAGACTTAGTTAAAAACTACATGTGCTGGCTATGACAGAGCCAGTGCCAGCAAGGCTGGCAGAAATCTCACCAGGACTCGGCCTCAACATGAGAGTGTTGAATGCAGAGCTGTGGGGCCATAGTCAGATCCAACCTCTTACCCGTTAGCAAAACAACATGAATACAATTGGTAATACATTCAAAAGAGAAATCTTAACAATGTATCAAATGTGATTAATCCTTTACTCTTTGGTCAATATTTACAATACATTATAGAACAGATTCAAGAGAGAAACCTTACAGTGGTAGTTATCTTACTTTGGGTTGTATTGCTCTGAAGATACACCATGGCCATGGCAACTCTTTCAATTACAGTTGGTTTACAGTGTCAAAAATTTAGTCCATTATCTTCATGGGAAACATAGTGACATGCAGACAGACATGGTACTAAATCAGTCCCTGCCTTAATGGTGATACACTTCCTCATAGAGCCACACTCCCTATTGGCAAATCCTTCGTGCATGAATATGTAGGGGTTATACCTATTCAAACCGCCATAATAGTCAGTATGAGAAACCTTTTATCTCCAAAGTCAACCTGAGTATTCACATGGAATAACTTACAAATGTAAGGAAAAGTCCTTACCAGACTCTCAGATGTAAGAAAACATCTGAAAATTCATATTAGTAGAAACGTTTCCAAGGGAAAAATTTGACATGTGCTTTGGCCAAGCTTTGTTCTTAACTACACTTGAGATTCCACACCAGAGAATCATTTTGAACATGAAAAACTTGTGAAAGCATTTAAGTTATGATTGAATCTTTTAAAACATCAAGAGTTAATGCAGATGGAAAATTTGAATATTTTTTTAAAATGGTGAACAGTTTCCATTAGACTTTTTAGTTGTTCAACCTCAAACACTTCATAATGAAGAGAGAGTAGGGAAACCTGAAGCATATGCTGTTGTGAAATAGTTTCCTGATTATTGGAGTGATCCATTCTGAAGGGAAGCTGATTAAAGCATGAAATAACCCTCCCAATATTTTCAAGAAATCTCTGAAACTTACAAGATTCAGTGTTCCTGAAAGTAGGAACTCAGACAAGTCATGCACTTGCGAAGAGGATTTTAGCCATGAAAGTAGCATGCTCTTTAACTTGTGGGTATGCCTACAGGTGTGTAGTGTGCTCCAGGTGTGCATTGTTCATAAGCTGTGTCACATGTTGATTTTGAATTTCATGGTAGTCAATGTTTTTGAGTCCCTTATGCTTTGGAAAGCAACTGCTTCTCCATATTCTTGTACTCAATTTTAATAAAGCTCATTGACAGAAAAATTTGGACTTGATACTGCTTTCAGATTCCATTTGGACTGAGGACATGTACATGTATTTTGCATATTCCCCAGGAAATGTGTCTCATTAGACATGTATTGAATCCATTAATTGTTCCTCCAAAGTTATTGTAAACAGGCACTTAATAATGGAGTCACAGTTCTCAACCTGTGGACTTTGAGTTCTTTGGGATTAAAAAACCCTTTTACAGGGGTTGACATTTCCAATGGTTTTAGGAACTGAGATACCATGGCTGTTGTTTTTATGTTGGTATGCCCACATTAGAGTGCTTGGGACTGAGTTAAAATCTTGTAACGTTAGGAAAGTTGGAGCCACTATATTAGAGAAAAGGCATCAGAGTCTTCAAAAAGGGGATTGTTTGTACTCAATTTTTCCAGGCCTACATTCATGGACCTACTAGGTTAAGTTATCAAGGCTCTTCACATATAGAGTGTAGGTGTTTTGAAAGCTCAGATAGACAACTGCTTTCTTCCTTGCATTAACAGAGTAAGAGAGAAGTCTACAAAAGACAGAAGAAAGTAGTGGTATAAAACTCTCAATGAAAGCATCAGCCAGCCTGGACTGTGTTGCTGAATAGTTCTGAAATCAGGATACAGGAGAACTCCAATGACCTTCAGAAAAATTCTACCCATGGGCATATACTACAACCATTTTGGGACCTTGTATCATGCTATAACTTAACACCCCACTTTACAAACCCCCAGAAATGGAGTTTTTATCACTTTATAAAAAACCTTTACCCAGTATTAATATGGTAGAGATCCTAGAATATTCATATGAAACAAAACTCAATATAGTGCTTAGATAAAGATGTATCTTCAACTTAATTTGATATCTAACTGAATCCATAGAAATATATAACTGTGAATCTTTAATGAGATAATATTTAAAAGGATCTGATGTACAGATGGCTCATTTATAGTTTATAAATCCCCAAAAGAGTATGCTGGAAAATCAATTTGACATACAAAGAAGGTATGAAAAAGTATCCAGTTGACTCCAAAGCATTATAATATTGATACTAAAACCAGAAGGAGTCACAAATTTTGTACCTTAGACAAATCTGTGTATTACAGTTAATAAGTCCATATTATTACATTGTTTTTCATGGATTTCAGTACAAGAAGAGTGGCATATTCAACCTATGAAAAATGTTAGATAATATTTTCATGGCTGGAGATATGGCTCAGCTGTTAAAGGATTGGCTCACAACCAAAAAATAGGAATATTTTTGTGTTCTCAGCATGGGAGATTATTGAAACAGGAGCTCATGTTTAATGCAATATTGATTAAATTCTGGCTGTTGTATTCAAATTGTCATACATAATTTGTCAGTTGCTGCCACATCATCATTTTGGACCTGAGACAATGGAAAGTTAGGTTTTGAACAGATCCTTAGCCATCTGGAGACTGCAACCATCAGAACAGACTTTGGAGGTTTAAATTTCAGGTGTTCAGTGGGTGGAGAACCCTTGGCTTGATGACATTGAAATCACTATTGAAAATCAGTACAGATTTCCAATATCCTGGTAAATTTTTAAATGTGTGCACAATGAATTGGCATCTCTCACTGTATCCCTCACACCTCTGTTATCTTCATTCTGTAACTATTTATGCACACAGTTCTTGTCCATGGTGGTAGCAAGCCTGTGACAAGACTTATAAAATGGGTCCAGGTAGCCTGACAACTGGAGCTTTGTGGAACAGAGCATGGTCAGAGATGATCATATGCAAAGGAGCAGGGCAGGGACAATCACTATATTGTGATGGCAAAGGAAGCAGAATCTCTGTGGAATTGAAACACTCATAAGCATTCGTGGAAGAGCGTAGTAAGAGCCAGATTTCAGGAGCCTGGTAGGCATTCCTAGAGGGACTTTCACAGGCTAAATTTTTTTAGGAACAAAACAGGCTTCAGACAGGATCTTGCCACACCAAGTAACACACCTTCAGTTGCAGGACACCCTATGGGACAATGTGGCGATGTCATGAGGACATTGAGCTAAGAGAATCGTCTAAAAGAGGATTTGACAAATCGCTTGTATCCAGACATGGTTCTCATACTACGAGCACTTATTAAGATCTTGGAATTTATTGTTACAACTTAAGAGTGTGGAAAAGTGGAGTATATTTGCCCTGATAGAATATCAGTATGTACTATATTAACAGTTATAAAATGCACTATAGATTAGGACAAAATGGGAATGCTTCTTTTTGGTAATTCTGAATGATCAATATTATTAGAAAAAAAATGACTCTTACTGTCTTTTGTCTCCCTGGTCCATCAAAAAGCACTCTACCATGGTTGAATGTCTAAATTGCCTTGGTGGGCTTTGTTTTTGGCTTTGTTTTATTGAATAAATGTTTCAGTCTGTTGCCCTTTCTCTCTGATAATTCACAATGTGGACCAAGTCTGGACCTACATGGGATATGTCTCTCTCTGCACCAAATCAATAACTGCTGTCCTCAAATGCTCTCTTTAATTACAGAATTACAACTTTCTCAAATTTTCATATCATTTTAGAATTATTTTGTCAATTTTGAATAAATTGCACATTTCTCTTGAAGCAAATTCTTTACATTTTTAAGGAAGAAAACACTTGCTGATTGTGTTCCTCTGTTTTAATGAGAACTTTCTGGGCATTTTTCGATTTTCACATGTCATACATGTTTTTTTTTTCTGTAGTTGTTTATGTGCATGGTGAACTGTGACTAAGTATACATATTTGCAAGAATAAACTGTTATTAGTCATTTCTTACAGAATCAAATGTGTGATATAGTTAAATTGTATGTGAATTTTATGTGGTTTTCTTTCTGACACAGCTGCACCCTGACTTGAATTGTGTGTACAGCAAGTTGAATTTCCACTGATGCTCTATGTCTCAGTTCTTTGTCTTTGATTTTCTGTAGGATTTGTTATTTTTAGTACAATTAGAGAGGACAATGATTACACACACAGGGACTCTTGGTGTACATTTATAGCAAATTTTATTTATGACTAGTAGTGTATAGCATGGATTTTCCAGAAAGAATTTTGGTTTGTAGGATTAATCAGTGGAAAACACAAGATACATTGCAACTATAACGAATACTGCTAACTGACCACATGTAACAGGAGCTGGTTTCAATCGGTTTCTTGCAAAAATGATATGAGGGCAGTTATCAAAAGTAATACCATATGCATTAAACAGATGGAAGAATCCCCCATCTGCCCTAGAAGGGTTGACTTTGTGCGTTATTAACTATGTCAAGCACCTACAGGGAACCTTCTATACTAATAAGAGAAGTGAGACCCTACAATAATGTGTTCTATACTGATTCAATGTTTCTATTTAGATGATGCAGAAGGAAGCTGCAAAAATGAAAGCATCCTTTTATAATATTTCTTAGAGTTGGATCCTCTGAATTTGACTAGACTTACTTACCTTCACTGTGGTGGGAGGTTACTGGATCTTTGATGACACTCAGAAGACTCCACCTCTTATAATGTGACACCCCTACACCGTCTGTTACAAACTACTAATAGACTTTCAAGGAAGCTATTACCATGGGTCCCTTTCTCAGCCATGATGAAATTCTGATGGTCTCAATCTCATAAGAGATTGGATAGATGACCACAGTGGCATAGTTAGGTTCAAAAGACCTTTCTGTTCATTCTGACCCATACCCTAGCTCTGGCTCTTCCAGTTTTCCAGTTTTCTGCTAATGCTTCCAGTATATTCCTTTTACCTGGACCAGCAAGTAAAAGGGACAGGCTCCTGAGGGAAAATGTCCAGAGGATCAGAATAATTAATATAGAAAGTTTGGAATCCAAATGTCTTGCACAAACTATGTCTGGTTTACATTCTCTTCTGATGGATGCAAGCAGGTCCTATACTCTAATGGGTCGCACCGTGGGTACAGGTGTGTCTGAGGCACTCCCTCTCCCAGTGGGCAGGAACTGGACTAGCATAGTGATGTTAGCAGACTTGTGGTTGCTTGTTCCTCTGGGGGTGAGTTGACCTGCCTGTACTCCCCAGGCCAGGAGATCCCAGAGTGGTCAATCGGGAGTCGAGCCGAAGACAGGGACCCAAGTTCCAAATTGGAGATTCTTATGAGCATCCATTTATGGATTGTGAAACAGAAAAGTCCTCTGTTAACAGTGCTATCCCTGAAAGTTACTAGTTTATATGTCTTGAAAACCTAAAAAAAAATCAGGTATTGAATCTGTTCCACATTCATTGCTATTATTCACAATTGTACTAATTTTTCAGAGAACCATCACATATGTGGTAAATGTGAGAAAGTCTTGCACCAAGGCACAAATTATTGTATCCATGGTCCTGAGAATATTCAAGAAAAGACTAATACATGTAATGAGCCTGCCAAAGGGATTCACGAATTCACCTTATGATATAAGTGATACTGATGAAAATTACAAGTACAGATTTCATAACTACATAGGGGCCTCTGATGAAACCTTAAACCTCAACAGACACAAAATTGAGAATGCTGGGGAAGAAACTTGCAAATATAAAGGCTGTGGAAACTTTTTGTATTTGTGTTCCATCAATAGCCAAAATCAAAAAACATACACAGGAAAGGAAGACTACAAAACTACAGAATATGATACATCTCCTGAGTCTAATACAGACATTAAACTGAAAGAAACTGATTGCAGAAAGCATCCACATCAATGTATACAATGTGCAAAATTTTTCAAGACTTACTCAAGCCTTATTATGCATCAGAGATCCCATACTAGAGAGAAACCATGTAAATGTACAAAATGTAATAAATCATTCCTGCAGTTTTCACAACTTAATGTACATTACAAAATCCATTGTAGAGAAAATCCCTACAAATGTATAGTATGTGGTAAGTGTTTTAATTGTTTATCAAAGTTTCAAAGACATTTCAGGATCCACACAAGACAGAAACATTACAAAATCCGTTGTAGAGAAAATCCCTACAAATGTAAAGAATATGGTAAGTGCTTTTATTATTTGTCAAATTTGAGGAGACATTTCAGCATCCACAAAGGAGAGAAACCTTACAAATTTAGCGAGTTAATTACATAAAATTTACCACTGTGATTTTAACAATAATATGTTAACAGCCTCAATTTCTTCAGTAATTCCAGGCTAGCATTTTACCTGTGTCTCTTGTGCTTGTTAGCTTTTTTCCTGTTAGCTATTTTTCACTCACTGTTTATCTTTGATTGAATAATAGAAGCAAGATTAGATATTGTAATAATTTGCCTGCTGTTGGGTTGTTTATAGGATGGAATGTTCTGCCTCCAAATACACATTGATATGTCCTCACATGGATTGTTTTATTAATTTTGTTTAGGTATTTAAATAATAAATATTGATATTTAATTTTTTAATAGGTATATTCATTCACCGTTACCCCTTCCTCAATTTGTCCCCTACCTGATGAGTCATGTCGTCTTCCGGGTTTCCCTTCAATCATCATCTGGAACGAAACCATTCTGAGCAACATCATTAAAAACATCTCTGATAAAGCACGGTCACTAATATGTGTCATAAAGCAACTCCACATATGAGTGAGTACATATGTTTGTCTTTTTGTGATTATGTTACCTCGCTCAGAATGGTTTCTTTGAGTTCCATCCATTTTCCTGCAAATTCCAAGTTTCCATTGTTTTTCTCTACTGAGTTGTACTCCATTGGGTAATAGTACCACATTTTCTCTATCCATTATTCAGTTGAGGGGCATCTAGGTTGTTTCCAGGTTCTGGCTATTACAGATAATGCTACTATGAACATCATCGAACCGATGCCCTTGTTGTATGAATGTGCTTCTTTTGGAGTGGAATTGCTGGGTCTTGTGGTAGACTGATTCCCATTTTCTTGAGGAGTCGCCATACAGATTTCCAAAGTGACTGTACAAGTTGGCACTCCCACCAGCAGTGGAGAAGTGTTCCCCTTTCTCCACATCCTCTCCAGCATAAACTGTCATTGGTGTTTTTGATTTAGCCATTCTGATGGGAGTAAGATGGTATCTCAGAGTTGGTTTAATTTGAATTTCCCTGATGGCTAAGGAAATTGACCACTTTCTTATGTGTCTTTCAGCCATTTTAGATTCCTCTATTGAGAATTGTCTATTTAGTTCTGTAGCCCACTTTTTAATGGGATTGTTTGGTGTTTTGGAGACTAGCTTCTTGAGTTCTTTGTATATTTTGGAGATGAGCCCTCTGTCAGTTGTGGGGTTGGTGAATATCTTTTCCCAGTCTGTGGGCTGCTGTTTTGTCTTGCTGACTATGTCCTTTGCCTTACAGAAGATTCTCAGTTTCAGGTGGTCCCATTTATTAATTGTTGACCTCAATGTCTGTGCTACTGGTGTTATGGTCAGGAAGCAGTCTCCTATACCAATTAATTCAAGGGTATTTCCAACTTTTTCATCTAATAGGTTCAGGGTGGCTGAGTTTATGTTGAGGTCTTTGATCCATTTTGACTTAAATTTTGTGCAGGGCGAAAGGCTTGGGTCTACACATTTGCATCCAGTTATGCCAGCACCATTTGTTGAAGATGTTCTCTTTGTTCCAGTGTAAATATTTGGATTGTTTGTCAAAAATCAGGTGTTCGTAGGTGTGTGGGTTAATATCAGGGTTTTCAACTCTATTCCATTGGTCTACCTGTCTATTTTTGTGCCAATACCCAGCTATTTTCAGGACTATAGCTCTGTAATAGAGCTAGAAGTCAGGGATGGTGATGCCTCCAGAAGTTCCTCTATTGTACAGGGTTGTTTTGGCTACCCTAAGTCTTTTGTTTCTCCATATAAAGTTGAGAATTGTTTTTTTCAAGGTCAGTGAAGAATTGTGTTGGGATTTTGATGGGGATTGCATTGAATCTGTAAATTGCTTTTGGCAAGATTGCCATTTTTACTATGTTGATCCTGCTTATCCAAGAGCATGGGAGATCTTTCCACTTTCTGGTATCTTTTTTAATTTCTTTCTTTAAAGACTCAAAATTCTTATGGCACAAGTCTTTCACTTTTTAGTTGGTGTTACCCCAAGGTATTTTATGTTGATTGCAGCAACTGTAAAGGGTGATGTGCCTTTGATATCTTTCTCCACCAATGTGTCATTTGTATATAGTAGATCTACAGATTTTTTTGAGTTAATCTTGCAATCTGCCACTTGGCTGAAGGTGTTTAACAGCTGTAGGAGTGCCCTGGTTGAGTTTTTGGGGTCACTTATGTAGACTATCATATCACCTGCAAATAGTGAGAGTTTGACCTCTTCATTTCCTATTTGTATTCCCTTGATATCCTTTTGTTGTCTTGGTTCTAGCTAGAACCTCAACGACAGTATTGAAGAGGTATGGAGAGAGTGGACAGCCTTGTCTTGTTCCTGATTTTAGAGGAAATGCATTGAGTTTCTGTCCATTTAATTTGATGTTGGCTGTCGGCTTGCTGTATATTGCTTTTATTATGTTGAGCTATATTTCGGCTATCCCTGATTTCTCCAAGACCTTAATCATGAAGGGGTGTTGGATTTTGTCAAAGGCTTTTTCTGCATGTAGTGAGATGATCATTTGTTTTTTTTCCTCAGTCTGTTTATATGGTGGATTACATTCATGGATTTTTATATGTTGAACGATCCTTGCATCCCTGGGATGAAGCCTTCTTAATGGTAATGGATGATTTCTCTGATGTGTTCTTGGATCTGATTTGCCTGTATTTTATTTAGAAATTTTGCATCAATGTTCATGATGAATATTGGTCTGTAGTTCTCTTTATTAATATATTTTTGTGTGGCTTA